AATAGGTAACAAGAAAATAAAGGCAGAATTATTTCATCAAGTGAAGAAACAATAGTGTCTGTAAAACAATGAATGAGTCCAAGCACACTTTCCCTCACTTCCAGAGCACACTCCTGGCTCATCTCCCATGAGGGCAGAGATGACATCCCATAGACGGCCTGTTGTTACAGAAGCTCTTCTATCATCAGGACCAAAAGTGACTGGAGGGAAGCCAAGGTTAAAAGGAGACCAACAGAAATAAAACAGCAGCAGGAGAGCTGAAAGGAGATTGGCACATTTTAAAGCAAGCAGACTGATTATGCAGGAAACCACAGAGCCTCCACGTCAGCCTTGGCAATAGCCAAAGGTCACCCCTGCTGCACGCAGATGTGCCCCAGGGGCACTGCAGCACTGGAGAGCAGATAATACATCAGTGCCTTCAGGTGAAAGAAAGCAGGATGTTCAGCCAGGAAAACCACGTTAAAAATATGCTTCTGGAGGCAGGTGAAGAAGAAATAGAGAGAGACGTAGAAAGAAGGGAATTAAGGGGTCACTAAGCATTCATGCCAAAACATCACAGGCAACAGATCTTCAATCCTCCTCATTAAGCCACCAAAAGAATGAACTAAGAAGTGCTGGCCTTCTGTATTTTAGCTGGCATGTGATTTACCCTGCAGAAGAACTCTTTGAAGATATCCAGAAGCCCTTTTTTAAAATTAAAAAACTCCACAAACAGTAATTGACATCAGTGCCAGCGGCAGCACGGTCCTCTTGGGGCTATGCAAGTCAGCTGCATCCTAGAATAACATTAATTTGAATTAACTATCAGCTACAATTGTTAAAGTCTGCAAATGTGCCCTTCTGTAGATGTGAAGTTCAAGCCTGGTGTAGGGGTGAATTTGCAATGTAAAATGCGACTACACTGATAACTTTTCTTTAAGCATAGAGTTATACATAGAAAACAAGTCTCTGAGTGATAATTAAGGAGGAAGGGCTGGTATGGAGTATTTGAGCCAGATGCTTTGATCCAAGTGGCAGAGAAAGATCCAGCTCACAGGATCTTAAAGCAACAGCCATAAAGATGAAAGAAAATAATCGAGAGATGCCTTTCATAAAAAGATGTTCTCATTCATGAAAAAGGGGTCCTGTAACTGCATAGGATGATTTCTACAGTATTTATGTTGAAAAATTATCTTCACAACTTTATTGAGCTATTTCTCACCAAAATCCTCATTAAAAGGAGAGCCCCAGAGATTTCATGTTACTCCAGCAAACAATACCCCACTTAGCTCCAGTGGAGATTCTGGTATTGCATTACCCTTCACCATTCAACCTCCTAATTGGGGCTGTCATTCTAACAACCCCAGAGCATATCCAGCAGTTTCACTATCATCTGCTATAATTTTGGGGCTGATATAGGGAACAGGGCATGGAAACACGAGAACTCAATTTTAAATTGGCTAAAATAAAGTTTATTTTACTGTTACAATATATAATCTTTTATCAACACAACTCACAAGGTGTTTACAAAATAATCTCATCTTCTGCTGCATTTTAAACACTACTTTTATACAAACTTCAAAGGTAAAATAGGAGTTTGTAACTAAAACATTTTTTGTTACATTTTTAGAAGTATCACAAGAATTACTTCAAACAAGACTTTTTTTTCTTGGTGCCATCTTCACAGACAAAACCGAATGTTTATGGTAAAGACCTGCAGGAGGATTCATGAAAGCTTTCTTTAGACAAAGGATGCCAGTCCTCCTAGTCTGACAGTGAGCAAATGCATTTGAGCTAATATTTGAGCTATTGCTGTACCCTTGTGGCCAGGAGGGCCAATTGTATCCTGGGGTGCATCAGGAAGAATGTGGCCAGCCCATCAAGGGAGCTGATCCTCCCCCTCTACTTGGCTCTACTGAGGCCACATCAGGAATGCTGTGTCCAGTTCTGGGCTCTTCAATACAAGAAGGACAAGGAGCTGCTGGAGAGGGTCCAGCAGAGGCCACAAAGATCATTAGGTGTCTGGAGCATGCCTCTTATGAGGAGAGACTGCGGGAGCTGTCTAGAGAAGACTGAGAGGGGATCTCATCAATGCATATAAATATCTCAAAGGCAGGTGCCAAGAGAATGGTGCCAGGCCCTTTTTGGTGGTGCCCAGTGACAGGAAAAGGAGCAATGGCCATGAACTAAAACACAGGCAGTTTCACCTCAACATGAGGAATCACAGAATACGTTGAGTTGGAAGGGACCTGTCAGGATCGAGTCCAACTCTTGACCCTGCGCAGGACACCCCAGGAGTCGCACCATGTGCCCAAGAGCATTGTCCAAGTGCTTCTTGAACTCTGTCAGGCTTGGTGCTGAGACCACTTCCCTGGGGAGCCTGTTCAGTGCCCAACTACCCGCTGGGTGAAAAGCCTTTTCCTGGTATCCAAACTAAACCTACACAGACTCAGCTTCATGCTGTTTCCATGAGTCCTGCCACTGATCATGAGAGTGAAGAGATCAGTGCCTGTCCCTCCGCTTCCCCTCATAAGGATTTTGAAGACCTCAAGGAGGTCTCCCCTCAGTCTCCTCTTCTTCAGGCTGAACAAACCAAGTGACCTCAGCTGCTCCTCTTACAGCTTCCCCTCCAGATCCTTCACCATCCTTGTGACCCTCCTTTGGACACTCTATAATAGCTTAATGTCTTTTCTATCTTGTGGTGCCCAAAACTGCACACAATATTCCAGGTGAGGCTGCTCCAGTGCAGAGCAGAGTGGGACAATCCCCTCCCTTGACCAGCTGGTGACACTTTGCCTGATGCCCCCCCCCAGACGCAGTTGGCCCTCCTGTCTGCCAGGGCACTGCTGACTCATATTCAAGTTGCCATGGATCAGGACCCCCAGGTCCCTTTCTGCAGCACTGCTCTCCAGACTCTCATTCCCCAGTCTATACACACAGTCAGGGTTGTCCCATCCCAGGTGCAGAATCTCCATTTGCCCTTGTGAAACTTCATACAGCTGGTGATTGCCCATCTCTCTAATTTGTCAAGTTCTCTCTGCAAGGCCCCTCTGCCCTCAAGGGAGTCAACAGCTCCTCCCAATTTAGTGTTGTCAGCAAACTTAGTTAGTGTTCCTTTGAGACCAGCACTGATGGATCCCAGCATCTGCAAAAACATTTTCCCAGGGGACTTTACTTACTAATTCCCTGAGCAGCCTGAAGTCTGCTCTCCCCATGTCCAGAGTCAAACTTTTGCTGGCACTTTTCCTCCTGTCAACAGAGATTTTAAACTTGATCCCTTCATGGTCGCTGTGGCCAAGATGGCCACTGATCTCCACTTTGCTCATGAGATCCACTCTGTTGACAAGCAGCAGATCAAGGAGGGCATCTTTCCAAGTTGGCTCCCTTAGGACCTGTTCCATAAAGCTGTCATCCAGTTTTTTTAAGAATCTTCTGGCCCGGGTTGTACCAGCTGTGTGATGCTCTCAGTTGATTTCTGGCAAGCTGAAGTCCCCCATAAGGACAAGGGCAGTTGCCTTGGAATTGTCCCTTAGTTTCTCAAAGAATAATTTGTCTGTGCCATTGTCCTGGTTGGGAGGTCTACAGCAGACTCCCACTGTGACATCTGCATTATTTGTTTGCCCCTTGATTCTTACCCAGAGGCTCTCAACTGTGCCATTGCCAACTGTGAGCTCCATACATTCTAACCCTTCACATACAGCTATGGAAAGGATGCAGGGATACCCCTTGCCTCCTCTGCTCTGCCTGTCCCCCCAAAAAGCCTGTAACGATCCAAGAGGGCACTCCAATCACAGAACTCATCCCACCAGGTTTCACTTATGCCATTGACATCAGATCTCTGGGACTGGGCCAAAGCTTCGAGCTCCTCTTGTTTGTTCCTCGTGCTGTGTGCACTGGTATAGAAACATTTCAAGTGTGGTACACTGTACCAAATAACTCGTGAGGCAGATTGAGGGATTCCATTAGTGTTCCTTTCCTCGAGTTTTGCACACCATCCCTTGCTCATTACTAGTAAGCCTGGTTTTGCCCCTTTCCCCCTTCCAAGCTAGCTTAAAGCTATCAACAAGCCCCACCAGCTCCTGTGCTAGAACTCTTTTCCCCCCCTGAGAAAGGTGCATCCCATCAGGTGTCAGTAGACCAGGTTTTGAATAGATTATCCCATGGTCAAAAAAACACAAATTTTTCTGCTTATACCAGACTCTGAGCCACGCGTTGACCTGATGGATTTGCTTATTCCTCTCAGTATTATTCTTTGTTACTGGAAGGATTGAGGAAATTACTACCTGCGCTCCTGATCCTGCTACCAGTTGCCCCAAGGCCCTGAAGTCTCTTTTGATTGCCCTCAGACTTCTCTTTGTTATTTTGTCACTGCTAGCTTAGCAACCAGTAGTGGGTAGTAATCAGAGGGCCTTGCTAGACTGGAGAGTTTTCTAGTGATGTCTCCCGAGCCCCTAGGAGACAGCAGACTACCCTGCGAGCTGGGTCCCGTCTGTATATCAGGCCCTCTGTTCCCCTTAGAAGGGAGTCTCTCATTACAACCACCAACTACCCTTCTTTTCCTCTTAACAGAGGTGGTTGTGATGCGGGGTACAGGTGGTGTTGGTTTAGGGGACCCTTCAGTCCCAGAAGGACCTTTGCCCACTGCATCAGCTGTCTGGTCTTCTAGTTCCAGGGCCTCATAGCTGTTGTAGAAGGTGTCAGTCCTACTTGTTAAGTTTTCAGAAGGAGGAACAACCTTCCTCCCGATAGGTGCAGTGACCTGCTTCCAGCCTTCATCTTCAACAGACCCTTGACTAACTGCCTTGCAGGGCTCTGAGTCCACCTGCTTCTCCACTGCAGTGGAGGTTTGAGACTCCTTTTCCCTACACTGACTATAGGGAAGGGAGGAAACCTGGTGCCTCCTGGTAGCTTTCATGGATCCCCACACCAATGACCAGCAAGACCATAACACACAGAGCACTCTGATCCTTAGTGCTGCACAAGAAAATATGGAAATCTTAAATAGAAGAAAATTTGAAGTATTAGAGTTGTCACAAACCATAGTATTTTAATATGTTAAAGTTACCTAAAATCCTCTGCGAATCTGGTAGTAACAGACAGGTATTACATTACTCAACCCTGGTCTCCACAGCAATGCACTAAAACACATTAAAAAGAGTGGAAAAAGCAACCATTTTCATAGCTGCTAGAGAGGTATGTGCTAAAGTGAATGGATTTATGCTCCTGACAGTCAAGCCAGTTGACAGATTCATGATAGCAGAATCAGGCCGACAGTGATCACTTTATATACAGCAAGCAGGTAGAAAGAGGTGCTACTTTTTTTTTCATGCATAGTTTAACCAGCTTACAGTCAGCCCATCTCTATTAAGACTAGAGATGAATGATCTACCATTTGGTATAAGCCAAACTACCAGCAAATATACTTCCAGTGCAAACAAAATTGTTTTTCTTCAAGAAAAACAACTAAATGTAATGCTACTTCTCGAAAAAACCAATGCTTATGCTGCATCGTTTTCTACCTATTTTGGTCTGCATTTCTAGTTTCCTTCCTACCCCCAAATCACATCTGAAGACAGATGATCACAGTACACATTTTTTTAGGCAACTCACTGTCTCCTCCCCAAAATACACTATACTGCTCACTGAAGATCATCCCTGAGAGCACTGTTCTAGCTAGACACTTAGAAAGCAAGAGATATCTCAGAGCTTAGAGGAAAAAAAGGCTGTTAACCCTGTGAAATCTTGTGGGTTTTAAAAAGTAAAAAAAACGCAGCTACTCTGAGCATTTAAATTCCCTGAGCTGAGTGAAATTTGAAGACAGTAATTTGTAACATGAAGCATACCAACATCTACAGCTGTACTTACAGAAGCTGCAATTTTTTACAGTGGTAAAGTCAGATGTTACACTACGATCACACAGCAGCTAGTGGTAGTTCCTTTAACTTGCTTCCTGCCACAGGAAATACGATGGCTTCTTTGGTGAGAAACAGCAGTGAAGAAGCGCCACGACTCTTCAGATTCTTTTGCCTTGTAATATTCCAGTAATCTTTAAGTTAGCGGAGATACCACCAGGCCATAGTGCAGTACAAGCAAACCATCCTACAGAGAAGAGAAAGAAACTGTATCATCCTACTTCACCTTTTCCGTGAGGCATTTCCGCCACCACCTGGCACGACAGTCACTGCACGGCAGGACCCCAGGCACAATCTCACCATGTTATACAGTGTCCCTTCCATATGGAGAGTGCAAGTTTTGAAGGCAAATAATTCCTCTTTGAGATGGAGAAGAGTGTTAAAAGAAAGTAGAATCTGGTACTTTGATTTTATTTTAAAGTTATAATTGAAATATCTCCATGCAATAGGCTCTTGCTTTCCACATGATATTGTGGGGCAGAAAAAGTAATCCATTAAGTAGTTCTAGAAGGTGCTGCCAGAAGTTGCAGTAGAAGAGTCTAGACTACTACTATATACATTTAAGTAATAAACACATTGGATTAAAAAAACTCCAAATGACAAACCATTAGTTTATTAAGTTATGTTTCTCCTCTTCAGAGACTGCTCCACATAATAAAAAAAAACTTTCACCTGGGAAACAGGACACTTCTGACCCATTAGCTTTACTAATGCCACTTAATTCACACTCAGCTGGTGAAAGGCCTAGCACTTAGTCTGCCTTCAATGGGAATCTGACTTATTGCATTAAACCTCTTTATATGGACAGACTTTAAAAAAAGTTTTCTTTTGAAGAGAGAACTACATCAATCATAACTGACATGTTAGAACTTCTACTATATTTTGCTTCAGATGTTTTTATCTACTAACATACAGGATGTAAGATAACATGTTCCAGAGAAGTTACACAGTTCTACGTGAGAGGGTATATCAGCATATTAAAAATAATCTTTAATTAAAAAGTTAATTACCCAAAAAAAAGTAACAAGATTGCTATCACTTCACAGGTCCTGTATCATCATACAGTAACAGGAGAAAGTGCTGTTTCAGTCTGAACACAGTGTTTTGGAAGAATATATATATATTTTTAAACCATAATTTGTTATCTGTGTAAAAATGGTTTTGACTAGTTTGTGCAGCCTCGACTATTCATAAAAAATAATCTTTGAGCCATTTTGTATTGGATTAAATTTAAGATTAAGCAATTGATCACCAACAACTCCAGAGCATGTTCCTCCACGAGTGTCATGCACTTCATTTTGTTTCATGGATGCTTATGATGACAAATGAGGCCGAGTGTAGTGTAGATGTCAATGAACCTCAACTTCAATGGTCAGGAATTAAACTCCCCAAATGCATTCCTGTGTTATTAGTGCCAACTGACTAACTTTCCTTCATCTTCTCATCCTGTTATTAACCAGGAATCCATTGCTAACTCCTAAAATAATACACAAGGATACAGGAGCTTTAACTCACTTCTTCAGCGTCTAGTATAAAGTGGGATGGCTACGTTGCAAAATGAAGAAAGAATCTTGATTGTTCTCACTTCTTGTTATGCGGAACATGAGGTTACTTAGGAATCTCTTGGCACACAGGACGTTGTTACACCTTCACAAAGCTACTTACTCCTTGTGCCCATTAGCTACTTCAACAGAGAAAATAAGATTTTCGAGCTTTGTTTTTTTGGAGAACTGTTGTCAAAATCAGTTCTTCCTCTATGGCAGTTTCTTAAAGAAATATTTATAAAAAAAGAAAATGCTACAATGTATTCTTTGATGAATGGGTTTTCAAATGGTACATTTAACAGTAGGACATTTAAAGAAATTATCTATTTACACAGGAAATATCCCTGGTAAACCAAAGGCCAAACCCACTGCAATTCCTTTGGCACAAAGTAAAACTGAGAGTTACCCCAGTACTGGCACTTCTTACTCTGTAATTAATTTCTAAAGTATTACACATTTCTACATGTCTTTCTCTAGACACTGTTCTTAAAAGAAAGCCCAAACAGAGAATGTGATCTCACTGCACATTACAAATCTCAAGCCAGTTTAACTCAGGCTCAAAAGAAATGCAAAGCTCTCCAGTGTTCTTTGCCACACATTTGTGACCCTGACCTAAAAAAATTTAAAAGGATCCTGCCTGTTACACCCAACTATAGAGTGGAACTGACAGACTAAAACATCAGAGTACATACCCCCTCTGATGTTATAAGAGCAGGAACAAAAAAAAGTGCCCCACTTTCCGAGTTCAATAATCCCACAGCAAAGAGTAAAACACTTCCGTAGCAAATGTGTGCTAGAAGGTCACAGTAATTAAATTAGAGCACAGCTCTTGCTGCCTAGCTCAGGAGACCAAAAAAATAGCGCAATAGCATTGGGTTACAAAAAGGTGAGAGCTACAAAGAAACCATTAGAATCTGCCAAACCTCTGTGCCAAGGGCCAAGGACATCACGGAAGGCACTCCTTTTAGCTTTTCCCATGTGTGAGCTCATTATATCCATCAGTGATGCAGAACTCTGAGAAGGCCCAGTTTCAGACAAATGAAAATAACCAGCAGCTTGGATCATGTTGCATTTGTGCAACAGAGGGGAGGAAGGTAATACAGAGAAGAAATTATATTCTGATATAGTTAATAATAAGCTTCCTTCCTCAGCTACTTGATCAAACTCTTATTACGAATCTAAATGCCTGGTAAAAAAATTCAGCCTTTAAAATATTCTGTGTCTTTGATCGCTCCTTGCAGTAAATTCCACAAGTTCTACACTGTTTTAAAAATAAAACAAAGTTGCTTCTTTTTATATAAATTCTGTGCAGCAATTTTTTTTATGTTTTTGCCCTAAACAGAGCTAGAAAGCCTACTTCCAGCTAATTAGGAAGATTCAACCAACCACACAATTTCTGAAATGTCAAAACATCTTGAGATCTACAAAATTAAACAAGATTTATTGATGATTCTTTTTTAGCCTTCTATCAACTACTCAGAAACTAACATGCTTACATTCAACCACTAAAATTAGCTGCTTATTTACTCCAATTAAAACAACCTGAGTAGGTTACTATGGGGCCAGAGTCAGGAATACTTATTTTATCATCAGATCACACTTGATCTTCCCACACTTGCTGGACAGGCACACGCATATTCAGAACAGCTAAAATCCTGCTAGTTGCACCTAGAGGAGACTTTAATTTACTGAGGCTCTAAGGCACCACTACACAGTGCCAGTCAGTAGGAAAAAACCCAAATACAGCACCCAAAATCTTCACAAGACTGTGCTCACAATCTGGAGCATTTAAGAACAATTCAGGAGGAGTAAAACACACTAAAAATAAAAAGTCACAGTGATTATGGTCCACAAGAATAAATCACACAAACATATGTTATGCTGCATTGCAAACGCTACCAAAGAGTGCACATTAAAATTAATTTCTTTGGGAAAGAGAAATTTATCTGCATTTTTTAAATCACTTTCCCCAGCAAAAAGAATAACTGCTGACACGAATGAACTAGCAAGTGAAAAACAGCAGGTTTTTTTTTCCCTCTAACAGTGGCTGTAGTCATCCAAACAAAAGCCCAGTGTTTATTCCTTTAAATGACTTTGTGTTGCAGAAGCAGCTATTGAAGCTATTTTCTTAGCATGAAGCATCTAAAATGAACATCAGAAACTGGTAAATGACAAGAGCAGTTTTGAAGAGTGTCTCAGCATCCTGGTGAGAGCTGTTAGGGACGTTCCAAGCTCCAACACTAATTTGGAAAGGCTGGAAAGTTACAAAGGCACAGGATGCCCTTGGAGCTTAATGTAAAATTCATCAAATATTCCTCTGTAGTTGTCTCACTGGCCAGGACAACTGTGCCTCTTATTGAATTTCAGGTCCTGGTGAAAAATAAACACTCATTATTTTTAGACTTGACCTATCAGTTTATTTTTCTTCCTGGATAATTATCTAAAAATATTTTCCAAGGTATTTTTAATCCTAGAAATGCATCCTTTAATCCTAGAAATGCATCCTCATGATTTCTAAAGGATAATATAATGTTAGACTAAAGAACATGGAAATTATTTCAATATCAAAAAAGAAGCAACTGTGGTTTATTTGCAACGTTCCTACTGTAACTATTTGATATCCTAAGATGTTTTCTAACAAAATTAAGAAAAATTAAGGATGAACCTGATCTTTCAAGTTTCCTGTCACGAGTGACTATGAAACCACAGGACTTCAAAAAAAGCAAAGATATTTTTTCTGTTTATTTGTCCAATAGAGCAGTCTTGAGGGAATTAACTGCTAGCATACTGATTTTGTAATAAATGAGATCTGAAACCTCACTGCAGAATGTATCCCAAGACAACTGTTCTCTTTGTGGAGCTGCTGACTGGTACCTCATCACTAAACATCAATCAGGCAGACCCACTTCTGACAACAAATGAAAGACACTAAACTTCAACTAGGCAGATCCATTTCTGACAAGAAATGAAACTCAGGTAGTATTCCTTAAAGTGCTTCCCCAAGAGCATTTTCCATACATTAAAGGCTTTCATGCTAAGATCAAGCTTAAAAAGCATATATGTGACTATACCCCTGGACTGAGAAACATATAATCCCTCTGCCATTTACTGAAGCTTTTAGTAGATGGTACTTCCAGCACTATATGCTGATTGCTGAATTTGCTTAAAATGAACACATTATGTTAGAAACAAGCTTGTTACCAGTACCTGCTTCCTCCCAGTTTCTACCCCCTGCTCCTCAAAGTGGGTTAGGTTACATTTCCATTTTTCTTCATATATAAACAGCTAAAACATCAAGTATGGCATATATTCACTTTAACTGCAGAAACAGCACAAGCTTCATAGACTTAATGTCTGCCAAAACTACAAGCCAAATACCTCTGCCCTGACTGTGGGATTCCTCCTAGTGACTCAAATCAGGTACAGGTGATGCAAAGCCCAAGATACCTCAAAATGAGCTTTCCACTTCTTGGCCCTGACACAGAAGCCTCCCTGTAACATGAGAGGGCTCAGCAGGAAATTTAAATGTAAAAGTTTGTGCATGTGTGTGCACAAAGAAGTGAAGAGAAACGATTCTGCAACTATTTCAGCCCTTCTACTATCTGCTTAGATTGCTTTCCAAATAAAACACCAATCTAAATCCTGTTTTCCCTACTGTATTAGATTAAACATTACCTTCTCAAACTTCCAAGTTTATATTAATATACAGTTTACTATATCATGATTTTACATCTCTATTCTACTATGCACTATGCAGACTACTTCATTGTTTTTGCAGCACTTGTAAACTGGTGTGATCCTTCCCATTATAAAGATGCTTGAAAAGGTTCACAAAGAATTAAAACCAAACACTTTCTTATTTGTAAAGCCAGCAGCATTAAGGACAGTACATTATCGACAAGGAATAGTTGGCCATGCTGTGAGCAGAATCAGTACAATATGCATCAAGCCTATTAACTGCATTCACTACCCCCCATCTTTGGTTTGTGTTTTTATGAGCAAGTTTATCCTCCTTACTCAGTCACAAGGATAGCCTTATTTAGGATTTGTCCTCCAATTTCTTGCAGAGATGCAATTACCAGGGAGGAAAAACAAGCCATGGTAATTGAAAGAATGGCTGATATAATATATCCTTTTTTTGTTGGGGGGGGGGTGGAACCAAACCCCAAACAAAACCCAACACAAAAACCTCATATCCAGAAAATCATGAAAATGGTCAAGAACACTCTCTGCACATGGTACTCTTCTCAACTCTACTTAAAAGATAAACAACATTTTGCATAAGCTGGAGAGATCTTCTGAGCAACTTCTTCAGACAAGCTGGTGCTTCCTGATAGCTTAAGAAAGAAGTCTTCTATTTTAAAAGGGAAAACCTGGAACAAAGCCCCAGCTGCCACATGTACCTGCACTGCGCTCTCTCCTATGACTTGACGAATTTCCCTCAGTGTCTGGTAGTGCTCCAGCAGGTGATCACCACATATTATGTCCACCTGTGAAAGAACACAAACATGGTCAAGTTCAACTACCTTTGTAGTAGCAAAACCATACCTAAGGCCTTTTAATTTGATTAGCAGAGTTCAATTCTAGCACGTTAGACACTCAAGTCATCTTTACCTTTATTGTCCAAACGTATTTAGCATGCACAGCACAACTGCACTGCCCTAATGCCTCTCACCCCATGGTCCTGACTTGGGGCTCACTGCTGGAACAGAACAGACAGTTTATTGTTTCATTCACAATTTGGTGCACCCACTGAAAGAAGCTGTTTAGTAATAGCTGTGATGAATTTAGTGGGAACTTAGATCGTGTATTACAATGATCCCAAAACCATCCGGAATCATTCGTCACATCAGTGGCAAAAGACAGTTGTTTGTGCTGCTGAAAGTGAGCCTCATTCCTACCTTGAGTGAGAAAACATGTGACTAAGTTCACTTAAGAAGTGTTTGGAAGAAGTGTTTTAATCCATTGCATGCTCCTGTCAGCTGGTACGTCACACAGTCCTTTAACATGCACCCAGTCAGTATTTCTGGGATAGAACTGTAGGACATACTCAGCACTTCTATGTATTGTCCTCTTCTGCAGCTAAACTGTGTCAATGCTGTATGAAATTTCAGACGAGGTACTTTTTTTAAGTAACTGCCCACAAAACCAGTAATTTTGTGGAAAAACCCCCCATAACGAAGTATTCTGAATTCCTTGTCTTAACTATTATAAAAAATAGGCTTCTTTATAAAGTTATATGAATTTACTGTGCAAGGCAAATCCAGACTTTAACATTCCAAATTAGAGCAGCTAACACAGCACTGTTTCTCTCTCAACTGCAGCATGCTTAAATTTTCCTTATGAGCAATTTCTAGATATGGAAGTGAGAGTGCTCTCGTTTGTGAATTGAAAAAACCTTAAAACTGAAGTTAAGAGCATTGACACTGAGCTGTCCCACAGCTTTCTGCAAGGAAATTGTCTAAGCTCTGCCCCTGCAGCAGCTGGGGAGCACACTGCAATATCATGACGTATTCTCTTATATGGCCACTTTCCAGGACAGGATGCACTCTGTGCTGCAGCTATTCAATTCCCCTGGATTTATATTCTTCTGTGTGCTGACCCACTATATCTCTCTTGTTCTTCATGAAGAGATTTGGCAAGATTTATGCCTCATGCTGGCAGACCACATTGTTCTGAGACTCGGGAACACAGGAATTTTACTCCTCAGAGGCTCAAAAGGGGCTAATTTACTTCACCATCTGTATCGTATGAGGACGATGTCGAACACTCTCTTCAAGTTAGGTTGATTGTTTATGTGCAGAAGATGTAAACTGCTTAGCATTATTTCTGCTTTTAGCTTCTAGAAGTAAACCAGCAAGTAAAAACTAATCGGGATGTAAGATTTAATACTGATCCATATACGCACAAATGCATATATTTAACATCAACATTTGATGTATTTAACACGGCACCTGAAATAAATATATTTTTTTTCTTTTTGAAAACTGGCTAGTTATTTCTCCTGCCTTCCATGCATTTTAGCCTCTACAGTTATTACTGCAGGAAGACAGACATGTCTGCTTTGCTTTCCAGTGATACATGAGTTTAATTACTTTTGTTTTATAAGCTTATTTTTATACTATAAGGCACTGAAAACTCAATCCTGAGGCCACTGAAACATATATACACACATATTTTATATATTCTAAAGAAACAGAAAATCTAACCAATATAACATGCAAACAGACACAGTCCCAGCTGCTGACAATCTCTCAAAACAGAATTAGAATGCTTGTTTGAAAGTATCCCATTGTTGTACCTGCTGCTCCAGTTTCAAATGACAGTCATTAAAGAGCTAGTGTCTAATAATAAATTGAGAAGAGTTTTTCAGATTTATTGTACTAGAATGCTCTGAATACCAAATGCCTAACTGTCCAATTCCAGCACAAAAGCCTGAAATTCTGCCTGCTAATTGTTATGCTAGATTTCATTCTATAAGGACAAAAGAACGAAATATATACTAAAAAAAATCCCAATTCAGTGTGAAAATGAGTTGTGAAATGTGTTTCAGAGGAATCCTTGTTTAGGAATTAATACATTGCATTGCAAAAGAGGCAATGAGTACTACAGATTTACTAAAATTTCAACTGATTGGTAAAATTGAAATCAGCTGGTACTGATTGCTTGTGAGTAATAAATGGTAGCTTGACCTTTTGCTGAACAGAAGCATGAAGGTGTAGCTGCTGAATACTCAGTCACTTGATACAATTCTTATTAAAATAAAGTAGGTTTTCTATTATGCCATTTCTTTTCTTTAGGTGGCTTGTCTGCTATAAGAGCTATTTCTCTAAAAGCCACGATAACAGACATTTATAAATTCATAATCACTAAGTAAGACAAATAAAAATAGAAAAAGTTCATGTAAGGGACACCCCATATAAGCTTCATCCCAAGGGAGAATTTGGCCCAGAAAAGGGTAGACCTCAATCAATAGTTTCTATGCCAACCCATACTATCCAGGGAAGGGCAAGGAAAACACAGTTTTACAGATTGACATGAATATTTGGGCTAGTTATTCAAAAAGCTGTCAAAGCTTCCCATTTCCTCTAGCTGCTATTTACTTTTCAAAAGGTACCGGATACTTCTATTCCAGGGTTTAAGACTGGCATAAAGAAACTGCATCAACAGCTACATTGTATGAGCACAGACTTCCTTTCTTCCAATCTTCCCCTAGGTTGCAGTTCACACACACACTTTCAGGAATGCACATCTGGTAATGGAACACTTCTATTCCACAAACTATGCTAATGTATTTGGACCAGCCAAGCCACAAGGCTTTCAGCAAACTCTCTCATGCTTACAAGAATGAATACCAAGAAGGGATACTGCTGCTGCAGGATGACCTCAAAGGAAATCACACTGTAAAGAAAACTTCTGCATCAGATGCTGAAGACAAGAATCTAATGGATTCCAAACACCATAGCCTGTATTTAGCTCACACGAAATGCTACCTACTCAGCTATTAACAGTGATTCCATTTTCTCAAAAATGATTTTCACCCTCTCCTAATAAATTCCAGCAAGTATATTCAAGAAAGACCTTGTAATTAGAAGTATACATAAATGTATACAGAAAATTAATCATTGCCCAAAGCAGAGAGATCAAAACAAAGCATCAGAAAGAATAAATTACAGTCTACCAGCTCAAGAAGTAGATAAAAATGAAGCCTTAACCTTCAGAGAAACTAGGAAATTTGAACCATACTCCATTTGCAAACTCAAATACAGAAATTTGAAAATAATTTGAAGCCTTGGACTAGGAAAAAAAAGAACAAAGGCAGTGGCTTCAAAATTGCTTTTTAGACTACTGTCACACATGAGTCAGTTGGCTTATTGTACAATTTCATTAACCTCAATCTGGTGCAGGTCAATGAAGAAAGGCAAGTATTGGCTAACATTGCACACGAACAAATTAAGCCGAAGAGGTCCAAGCACAGTCAGCAGTTCAGGAGAATGGGTAACACATCTATCCCTTGGTCATTGAATCAGCTCTAACATGGAATGAGTAAAACATTTGCCCACTAATAGGGGATCATATCTATCTGGCAAAGTCCAAGTAAAAAGTAACTAATGGGGGAAAAAACGCTCAAGTTAGCTCTGTTAGATGATCTCAAGATTGCAAAATCTGAAAGACCACTACACATGGGCCCAGCTTAATTTTGAAAAATGAATACCTGCAATTCCCATGACAACTGCTCAGTATTCCTGAAAACTGAGACTCTGGTGTTCTACTTAAGAAAATCCAAACGAAACAATTCATTCCCCTCAAATAAACCACAACTCAGTTAATGCAAAAAGCTTCTCTAGTCTCATTTTGAGGATACTTTTATTTGTTTAGAATATCAAGTCACCACCACCTGAAAGCTAGAAACTCCCACTGAGAGAAAACCAGCAAATGAAAATACATTACTTCCTCAGCATGATGAATAATTTATATCTGATCTGCTTTGTCACCACTTAAAAGGTAAGCAGCATGAATAAACACTCATTACTGAGGCACACAGCCATGCTGTATTGTCTCAGGCACTTACTACTGTATGAAAACAGCCTTAACTCCAAACCCAGCATTTAAATTCCACCATTTGTCTATTCACAGCATTATCAGCTTGATTTTCCAATAACTGACAGCTTTAAGAATTATTTACACCTTACAAAACTCCCACATTTTCTCAACAGAATGGTTGCTGAAATACACTGAAGAATTGAAAAACTGGTTTTGACATGCAGTTCCTCTCAAAATGGTTGAGAAATATAAAGCTAAATTCTTTTGCTCCTTTGAATTCTTATTTGGAGGGAAGTGTCTACATTTGCATTCGCACCTTTCATTTCAACACATCCATCATTCTTTCTTAGCCCTTGTTTGCATTCAGTTAAATTTTATTGTTATTCAGCTCCTGCCTTCATATACTCCCACATTCCCACACTTTCCTGTCCAGTTTTACCTTAGAAACAGCAGTATCTCTTAGTTTTGAATTTCATCAGCTGAAATCTTAAATGGCACTTTAAAAACTCTATCCAATTAATAAAATATTATGAAAATTTAAAGAGGATGCAAATGAGCTAGGAGAGTTGTTCCTTGCAGATCACAACATTTCAAACAATTAGTTTTTTAATTCTCACTGCATTAAAAAAATCTAACATTACTTCTAGAATCTAAAGAACAATGGAAATGTCTGCCCAAAGCAGAGGCATTACGCTGATCACAGGGAACTTGTAAGTGCCACTGCAAGTGCATACCTGACAAGCAGGGTCCAGATCCATTTTTCTTCTGAGGAATTTCTCCACATGTCCAATTGTTGCCTCCCCAGAAACACGCACAAACTTCTTTTCCAAAGGCTGCAAAGAATAAGTAAAGATTTTCAGCCCTCATCCCTTGTAAACACCAAACCCAAGTGACCGTCCAATAACAAAGGGAGACAGCTTAAATTTTTGGACCCTTCTCTGATCTACTTGCAGATTACCTCATAGGGAAAGAAATAAATATGTATTAAGACTCTGTGTTCAAACTTCCTTCTGTTTAAAACATTTACAAAATAACCAGCGACTGACTTCAGTCCCATCTTATTTTAAGAACTTCTCCCACTACAAGGATTTACTCATCTGAAGCACAAGAAAATTTCCTAATGTTTCCATATTTTCTCCAAATCAGGCTTGTATACTAAACACAATTCAGATACTTAAGCCCCATCATTTTATGATGCAAGGAGTTTAAGTCCTTCAGCATTCTAGAAGCAATATGGCTCATTCTTAATAGCCCATGAAATTCCAGAATCAATTAAAATATACTACTATGCAGAAAACAAGGGCAAGACTAGTCTGAAATCTTTTTGCTTTTTTCTAAATACTTTCACAGACAGGACTGCAACAAGAAGACATTCATTATACCAGACTCAAAAATTTTAATGGGCTTCCATTCTATGGATTAAATTTTAAACAGCTGACTGGTGATATGGACGACTACACGAAAAGGCACAAAGGCAGAGCAGATGACTGCATTCAGTGTGATAAATGGATTACTTTTTGTGTCAATTGATTGGATTTTTATGTTGACTTCTGAACAGACGTGATTTACTACCCAAGTTCATCGTATTCTTTCAAAATAAAAGAACGGGCTGAGGGTCATGGACTACCCTTGAATTCAATCATGCATTTAAATAAGTATCCATGATAACTGTGCTTTGGGAACAATAGTTTGATTTATTCATGTGCAAGAGCTAGAAATTACAGTTAGACCTGATCTGGGGACCCTGCTGCTGCAAGCTTGATGATGCTGAATTTAGGCTTGCTGCATGTATAAATCAGTTTATGGCCATGGACCCGGTAACCTGTTCTCTACTCCCCCATCCCCACTTACAAAAAGGACAGTTGAAACCCCTTACATATTAAGTATAACTCCTTATATATATATATTATATCCCTTATATATATATTTTAAGTTCTACATCTAGTTCTCGTAAGGGAACTTCCCTTAAGGGTGGGGCATCACAATTGCCCTGTTTTGTGTAGCCCAAAACAAACAGGACAAACAACAAAGCAGAAAGGAGGGCAAATGTGAGAAAGGGTAGGAGGTGATATAAGGGCAAGAACATGAAAAAAATACTGTGAAATGTAAGGGTAAAAAGAAGAAAAAAATGCTGGATAGGCATGATAGTATATTACAATAGGTTTGAAAGTACACGCTGCAATCCAATATTGGTTATTACTATGCTGATGAAAGTTCAGGCTGCATTCAGTGTAAGAAAACCAAACTAAATTAAATACATTCAGGGTATAGTTATTTCTGAAATAAAAGAAAAATTCAAATCACATCTGTACCTTAAAATTCCCTGTGCCTTCGTTAGCTCTGGAAAAAAAAACAAGAGTAGAGTAAACACAGTCAATATCGCTAAAGTTAACAGTTAATAATATCCTCAAGCTCTTCATAACAGTGACTTATTGATTTATGAGTCTTGCATATCAAGCTTATATTCCCAGTTCAGGCTCTAATACATGAAATAATATTAGACTAAATTTACATATCTTTTTCTCCTATCCCTTATTTTTCTGCTCAATTTTTTCTTGTGAATTCAGCTATTTATGACTTTAAGGTTTGTCTACATGAAATGGGAGTAAAAATCAACACAGCCCACAGCCATTTTTAAACACAACATTAATTTTCATAGGAGTTGGTTGCAATATTAATGCTGCTTAAATATCCATACTTCAAGGTCCTTGATATTTGGAACTTCAGCAGACAGTACCTAAGAAGTTACTCACAGAACACACACAAACACCTAAGGGGCTCCCTGAGCCAGTTGCTGGCCTTCCAAACTATTTATATGACAATATTAATGCTATCTCGGAACTCAGAAAAGCAGCTTGTGTTTCTCTGGAATATGAAATACACACAAAGGTGGCAAATGACCCAATTCCCAGCTGGCTTCCACCAAGGTTCACTGATTTGCACATCCTAAGCCTGTGACCTACCACTGATACTCCACACCTTCTTCTTTTAGTGCAACATATAAATTTGTCCCTTAATTAAACCCAATCCATGACATTTCATTATTCTTGCATTGCATTAGCAAGTACACATGAGAGAGGAAAAAATTAAGTATTTCATTGCACTGGAGAAGGCAAAAATCAAACATCACTGTAAATCAACCGACTATTTGGTATAACAAACAAATGTGCAGACCACACATTAGCACAGCACTTCAAGTTACTGTAATTGAGCACCTCCACCTCTAAATATGTACCAGATATCAGAGCTAGGTAAAGCTATCATGAGCTAAGAAACATAGAAAAGCTTTTTCACCACAGCTGTCATTTTATTTGATACAGTTCCACAGCCACAGGTGACTAGATTATATACTCTAAAGACACAATAGAGACCGTCAGAATTTCAAAGTAACAATTTCTTCTGGCTATTACAAGTTTGCTTTATCCAAAATGCTTTATTAATCTCTCATAATCAAGATGAACCAAGATTGGTTTTGCCTGCAGAACACTCGATACTACAGTTTTAGTAATGACTCCCACTGCTGTCAGCTGTGCTTGTGAGCATTCAGCTGCAAGGCAGGCATGAGAAAATGAACTGAAATTAAGTCAGGTATGTGGATTCACAGTGTCAAAAATTTTATATTATTTGAAAGCAGCTGAGAGCTTGCTTGACATTAGTAGCAAGGATTGTTTGTTAGGCCGCAAGTTGAACTCTACTTGAACTATGTGGCTCTGCTGCATAAGTCAAAGATGGGTTACAGCAAAACCTGCAGCTAACAACCTGAACATTAACAAGAGTTAGAATAGACAAAGCTAGCACCTTAAATATTATTTAAAAAATAACAGTGGGAGTGGACAGCCCATAAATTGTGGTATATGAACAGTAACAACCATATTACAACATGGACCACAAAACTGACCAAAACAAACCAAAGAGGACGTGAAGGTGATCACACAGCAAGTACTGGATAATGAAACAGTGAACCAAAGAAGAATGAGAAGATCCCAGACCCTAAAATCACTATTGGTCTGGACTTCTGTGAGGGATGGGGAGTTTAGGTCATAAGAGTGTAGTTGCCCAGGGATTTCTTTCTTGTGGTCCCTCTAGTGAGGTACCAGCTTGAGCTACCAGATGACTGATTTGTGCCAGTAAACCTATCTAATGGAGTTGAGAGCCTGGTGTCAAAACTTTAACACACAAGGATATTCTTTTGTTCCCTAGAGGTTCAGCTTTAAGACCTTCCCTTTTCTTCCTGCAGTCCCACTCCTCATCCATTTAAAGAAATAAAGAAGACACACGATGGGCAACACAAAAATAAAGCCAACAAAACAGAAAACCACACGCCACCACCCACCTTACTAAAATTTACCCATGAAGAAAATTTGTTCTGTACTCTGAATAAAGTGACACACAGTGGAGAAACTGGACATAACATATAAAAAGATGTCTACAAAGAGTGAGGTTGAATCAAGATATGCTTTGCCAATAGAACTTCTGAGTTTCTGAGGGCTTAATTTTATGTCATTTGTGTAATAGTTTGTTATGATTATGTATTGGAGGTCTCAATGTTTTGTTCAGACAAATTCAGGCCAAAAGGAGGCACAATCTGGGTAGAGGAAAGAGTTACACTTCCCACAAGCCAATCCAAGCACAGCCAGCATTAACGGTACTGCCACCTACAGGGATGAGGGGACTGGAACAGACAGGGATTCCACTGTTCAGTTTACTGAGACTGCGCTACCTTGTCAAAACCAAAACACATGTAAGTTTTAAAACTACACTTTCTGGGAAGCTATTTTTATAGAAAGACACATTTATTTGCATTATCTAGCTATGATTGGCTGTCACTATTGCACTGTAAGTTAAAACCAACTCCCCACTGCTATTTGAGATGAAGAAATGCACATTTAATGAAAACCAAGGGCCAGTTAATGGTCCAACACACACAAGCAGTACCTTCATGTCAGCCAGCTGCTCTTACATTTGCCCACAACTCACCCAATAAACTCCAGAAGTATGGAGATGTCAAGTTCCGGTGGAATCCGGAACACCGAGCCTAGAACCTTACGAGGTCTTCCTCTGCTCGTTGGAACTGGCTGTGGGACAGCTAAAATATTCAAAAAGCCAAAATGCAAAGACAATTCAAAATGAAAACAGCATAAGATGCTAATATGCAAAACAAAAGAACTCATCAGGAAAAGAAGCCTATAAAATTCATCCTATTTTTTATTACTAAATCAGGTCTTTCTGCATTGTATGCTGTGTATTTGAACCAGCATTTTAGTACTTTCAGCAAGGTCCTTCTCCTAAGAGCTGTTTGTTTGATAGTAAGACACAAAATAATCAGAATAATCCCTAATCTGTGAGGAAACTTTGAAGTTCTTATTTTTACTCCTTTGTAATGTCTATTATTTATTAAGATTCAGAAAATAAAATTAATGCACAATATAACATACATTTCCTGGTCGTAGGCAAAATATATAGCTAAAACAATCCAACCATTATCTGGGTTTAAGTGTTGCCAATTTCATCTATTTTTGTAATCTGAGATCTGTGACAAGTTATAGTAGTCAGATAACCAAGAATTCCAAATTTCCAATACACACATCTCCTTCAGTTGTGAGCTAATATTTTAAGGCCTTATGAATAAACTACATAGTAAGTACTTCCCTAACAGTGTCCCCGAAGTGATTACAGCTCACCTGGTTTGGGCACTTCTAATCCTCTTTCTTTATAGAAGTCATGCATTTGTTTTTTCTCTCCTGAAATAAAGAAAAGCCACAATACACAGATTGAAATGTTATTCCAGATGCTGAAAATATCCATATAAATTCCAATGGTCAGAACAGCAAAAATTTTCGAATTTCCTACAGACCTTCACCATCACTAGTATTCCATATGAGGTTGAGACACTTAAGATACTCAGAATAAGATTTTGTTAGTAAAAACTGGGAAGAAATCAGAGAAATTGGCCATAAATCATACTGAGATAGCTGCAAAAACAGTACCCTTCTGCGTCCATGACTATTTTAATACTTTTTATAGTCCATACATATCCACTAGATTGTTGGCTCCCAAAGTTGAAAGTAAATGAGAGAGTGAACACATTTAAAATCAGACAAATAAATATGGCAAAAAAAGAAGAAAAAAATAGAAGAATTTGAGAGAATCAGTCTTAGCAACTTATTTCAACCAAGCCAAGTGAACTTGTTACACAGAATATGACATACTTCTACAAAAATAAGAGGCATGACTATGAAATATTGCCTGGATGTTTACCTGAATACAGTGACACCTGTGTTTCATGAGATAGGGTACACACTGCTACCCTTAATAGCACTTAGCAGGCAGAACCATACCAGTAATCACAGTTAATTCATTAAGATTTATAACCAAACATTACAAAACTATTTTAAAGAGTCCAGAGTAGAAACGGGGCTTTTAATTACTCTGTTTCCTGTTCACTCTTTTCAATTTCTATATAGTAATAAAGAAAGGGACTTACTTTCCTCAAGATTAACAACTAATTTGTAGACTATGTCTTGCAGTTGCCGGTCCAGCCTATGAAATAGAAAAAGAAAAGAAAGTCTTTGGTGCAACATGAAAGGGTTTCATTTTATTGTAACAAAGATACAAAATACACTGTTGAAACATGACATACGTAGAGGAGAGCGACAGAGCAGCAACTCCACATCTTTCATAATACACATCCTGACAGCAGAGCTCCAACAAAAGTCATGTAAAGTTCAAAGCACCACCCTTCGTGAACAGCTCAAGAAGTTAAAACTCAATTTTCAATTAATAAGTACACCATGCCAACAAAGCTTCATCTTTATATGATGCAGCTCATATCACCTCTAACATTGAGTAAACACATAAAAATAACCAGGGTAGAAGGTAATGAACCCTAGAAATGGATACAAACTAGATAAAACGGTATATTGAGGGGTTTTTATCTTAACTATTGAGATGAAACTTACATAATCAAAGAACACAATGTCTTTCTTGCAGCTGTTCCTTCATTTGGAATAGGAAAGCACTACTAGTCTGCAAACCAAAACATTCAAAAGCAAGCAGCAAATCTACAAAAAATGGCATAAATTTATTACCTGATATTATAAAGGGGCTGTGTCTGATGTACAACAATATTGCATTTTGGACATCTGTTGCTATAGTAGAAGTGTCTCACGATGCAGCTTTTACAAACTGTAAAGAAAAGAAACCCCGTGGGAGTCACATGTCCATTATACAGTGCCATCTGTTCAGGCAAGAGGAACAATTACACCCAGACCTCCCAAATAAAATTTGTCAAGAGGTAAAATGAAGTAAGTCATTGAACACTCCTAATTCAAATGATGCAAAGGTGGGTGTTCAATGTTGCAACTGTGTTATCTAGAACATGAGTAGAACTAAGACAACAGAATACTGCCTGCTGAAAAATACTCTAAAACAGTTTCAGTAGAAACAAGGTAAGAAATCATAACTGCCAGTTTCATTCTGTTTACATGTACTTAAAAAACTTGGAAGGAAAGCTAACAAGTGAAAATATCTAGAATAAATAATCTACTATCAAATCAGCGCCCTACAAGCCTGAACACATCAAACTTTTTCACAACATTTACCAGGAAAATTCTACGAGACCACCACAGTTGCACTTGCAACGTTATGTCATCCTTACTAACAGTTGTGCTTTTTCCTAAATTACAAACTGTGCTGAACACTATCAGCTATATAACAAACTAGTCAGCAGTGTCCCAAAAAAGGGGGGAAAAAAAAAAGAAAAAGAGTTTTCCCTCTTCGTATTGTGAGTGGTTGAAAGGTCTAGGAAGCGAGGATTCTCGGATTCAGGTAGGAACATGAGTGTAGCTGAAAATCAGCTTCACAGAAAGGGTTTTATTAGCTTTAAGAGAAAATAGTTCTGTTAGCAAGGGAAAAGCTTTTAGCACTAGGACTGAGGGGAAGAAGACCAAGACAAGCATACCGAAATAATTTTTTTTATTACCCATCTGTTTCCATTCATGAGATTATAGACAAACTTTCCCATGGGTGCAGACCACAATTTCTGTATCTGAACTGGTACTTCCACACAGGTGCTTATGGAACTTTGTGAATACACATCAACAACAGTTTAGGAAACTCTTTAGTCCACTATAAGCAGAGTCACTTAACTTTCTTTTCTCAGTTATATACTCAAATTCCTGGAGCCTACTTAAAAAAAATAATTAAGAAAGTGTACATAACAGCTCTATTTTTGTCTTATTTGGGCTTTTTCTTTTCTTACATTGTTTTTCCTCTTAACTTGGAAAGCAGACTTCGTGATCGAGTGATTTCATGATTTTCTGATGCTTTAAGTGTGCACAAATATATGTCCCTTATGGAACAGAATAAACACAAAACACATTCACTTCAAACAATTATTTTTGGGAACCCAGAACATTTCAACACTGATTTTGTTTGAATTTGCAACTAAACTCTTAAACAGATAACACTGATACTTACAGGTGTGCAGACATTCTGTAATAGTTGTAGCATCAATAAAGTAACCTTTGCAGATGGAACACAGGATATAAGGGGTCAACTCTGCGAGGTTTATCATACGCTACAAAAAAAGACAGTTTGTAAGAGTTTGAATACACAGGCTAAGCCATGAAATTTCCTGATTGCAACTTCCAAAATACCGTAGCCTTAAACCATGAAAAAAACTGGGATCAACAGGCTAGAGGAATGGCTTTTCCTAAGAGGTCAATCATTCCTCATATACAGATCTTTTCTAAAGACTTTCACCTAGTCTTCTAAATTGACCTTTCGGAGAATGGCAATCCAACTTGTTTCATGAATCATATCTAAAAAGCAAACTTTAAACAATCATTTTGAGAAAAGTTCTTTTGCATAAACTCTTTTAAAAAAATATCAAATAGTCAGCAAGGTTGAAGTGGATAGGGGTAGCAAACAATATCATTATTTGAAAATGCTCGTCAGGCGTTTTGGGGCCCACAATCAAGATATATAACGAGTTTATGTCACAAGAGACAGCCATCTCTTGTTTCTACACACAGCTAGGGATTATACAAACGCATATTGAAGCAAAGAATGAAACTTCACTGCCCTGAATTCTGTGCTTATCAGGAAAGCACACAAGTAGTTCCACAACAACTTTTCTGTCTGAACAACACTATTTCAAAAAAAGAACAAATTTTTCAATAGCAACGATCTGAGATGTGCCTGAAGAAGGCAACACATCAGGTTCTTACGTCCCGTTCGCTCTCGTCTGAAGGCCAGACTGAAGGGCTTTCTTTCCCTCAACACCACCATTCATTTCGCCCACGTGCAACCGCCCACCACCCTCTCAGCCACGCCGAGTTTGTAAGGGCTTCTTTCGAATGAGACGAACAAAGTGAACTCGGGTAACAATAAAATAAATATTAAAATAAAATATATAAATACAAAATGATAATTAAAAAAATAATAAAAAGCCCATTCCCACACGCGAGGCACGTCGGGAGCGGGGCCTGGAGAGCCCCGGGAACCCTCCCGCCCCTTTTACCTCCCGGTCGTCGCCCGAGTCGTGCTCCCCGTCATCCGTCCCGAACCGAGCCCCGGCGTCTCCCTCCAGCTCCTCTTCCTCCTCGTCGTCGTCTTCGTCGTCGTCGTCGTCCTCATCGCCGGTGGACTCCGAGCGGCTCCGCTGGAACTCGAAGGGGACGGAGCGCGACCCCGAGCAGCTGGGGGCCCCCTCCATGTCCCGGTCCTCATCGGCCGGGGCCGGGCCTGCTCCTGCTCCTGTTCCTGTTCCCGCTCCCGCTCCATCTGCGTTAGACGGCCCCGAGACCCCGCTCCCAGCGCCCTCCTCCATGTCCACGGACCGGGATCACCGCGGGTCTGTCCGCGGCGCCGGGAGCATGCGCGGGGACGCCGCGGGGCACGCTGGGGAATGTAGTCAGAGCGGACACGGGGCAGAGCCACCGCGCATGCGCTGAGTCGCAACTGGTCTGCACTTTTTATAGCCCGAGGGTTCTTTTTCTTAGTTTTTTTCAAGTGACTCTCTAGTGAAGCAATAGCACACGTTTAATTTGTCACTAAGACCCTGAACCATCTTGTCCGGGAGCTGCTTTACGCTGATGACGCCGCCCTTGTTGCCCACACAGAAGCAGCTCTGCAGTGTTTAACATCCTGCTTTGCAGATGCTGCTGAGCTCTTTGGGCTGGAAGTCAGCTTAAAGAAGACAGAAGTTCTCCATCAACCTGCACCTCAGGAAGTCCTCCATCATCCCCACATCACCATCGGCCAGTCAGAACTCAAATCAGCCCAACAGTTTAATTACTTAGGCAGCCTCATCTCCTCAGATGGTAAGATCGACGGGGAGATAGACAATAGGTTCGCAAAGGCATATAGTGCTTTTGGAAAACTTCATAAAAGAGTCTGGCGTAATAAACACTTGAAGAAAAGTACCAAGATCAGTGTTTACAGAGCCATAGTGCTGTCAACTCTCTTATATGGTTCCGAATCATGGGTCATCTACCGCCACCACCTGCGTCTCCTAGAACGCTTCCATCAACGCTGCCTCCGCACAATCCTAAACATCTACTGGTCAGACTACGTGACCAATACATCTGTTCTTGAACAGGCAGCAATCACAAGTATTGAGGCCATGCTACTGAGAACGCAACTGCGATGGGCAGGGCACGTCTCCAGGATGAAGGACCAACCACCGCCTCCCTAAGATCCTGCTCTATGGTGAACTTGCCACTGGCTGTCGCAAGAGAGGAGCTCCGAAGAAAAGATACAAGGACTCCCTGAAGCAACAACTCAGCCTCGGGCATATTGACCACCATAACTGGTCTACTCTGGCCTCTAATCGGGAGGCCTGGAGACAGACCATTTATAACGCTGCTGATGCTTTTGAGAAAGCACGCAGGATCACTCTTGAGGAGAAAAGACAACGCAGAAAGAATCGAGCCTTGCAGAATATACCATCTAAGGAGTCTTTCTGCTGTGTCTTTTGCAACCAGACGTGTCTATCTTGTATTGGCCTTTTTAGCCACCAACGCGCTTGCAAGAAACGTGGGTAGAGCCCTTCCCAAATCTTCGTTCATGAAGCCTAGCCATGAATTTGTCACAAAATAACGTCAATCACAACATACCAGTTTCATTCGAAATAAGGTTTTAATTCTGTAACATAATGAAATGGAAAGGACCTTAAAGATCACCCAGTTCCAACCCTCTGCCATGGGCAGGGACACCTTTCACTAGACCAGGCTGCTCAAAGCCCCATCCAACCTGGCCTTCAACACTTCCAGGGATGGGGCAGCCACAGCTTCTCTGAGCAACCTGTTCCTGTGCCTCACCACCCTCACAGTGAAGAATTTCTTCCCAATATCTAATTTAAACCCGCCCTCTGACAGTTTAAAGCCATTCTCCCTTGTCCTGTCACTACATGCCCTTGTAAGAAGTCACTTTCCAGCTCTCCTGTAGCCCCTTTAGGCACTGGAAGGTGGTCTAAGGTCTCCTCGGAGCCTTCTCCAGCCCGAACACCCCCAGCTCTCTCACCCTTTCCACGAGTACAAAAGAACCTCTGTTTAACAAACACGAATAAAAGAAGCAGTATTAGAAATACCTGAAAAACCGAGCGGCCCAGCCGTAATTAACCTAATTCGGAGCACGGCCGCTAAGGCCCCAGAGGGCACACAACCCCAAGGCCATCATTGGTACCCTGCAAGGAGCCCCAAAACTGCTCCCACCGCCCCTCACAGCCGGAAAGCGCTCCCGCCAGCGTCGCAAAACGAAGCCGCGCGTGCCCGTGCAGGCAGCGGCGGTTTGCCCGTCCTTTGCCCTCACTGTCGCAAGGGCGGCCGCGCGTGGCGGCGGCCGCGGCGGCGCAAGATGGCGGCGCTGCATGAGGAGCCGGCGGAGGTGGCGGCGGCGCAGCCGGACCCCGAGGCGGGGACGCCTCCGCCGCCGCCCGCGGTGCCTCCCGCCGCCGCCGCTCCCGTCGCCGCCCCGGCCGCCGCGGCGGAGGGAGAGGCGGTGGGGGGCGCTGGGGATGCGGCGTCCGCGAAGCCCGCGGCGCCGGGCCCGGCCGCCTCCCCGGCGGCGCTGGACCGGCAGACACTCGTGGCCGTGCTGCAGTTCCTGCGGCGCAGCAACCTCCGCGAGTCCGAGGAGATCCTGCGCCGCGAAGCCCGCCTGCTCGGCGACGACCTGGGCGCCGCCGCGCTCAGCCCCGCCAGCGCCGGGCTCCTGGGGGGCTCCGGCAGCGACGCGGACTCCGGAGAGGCGCTGCTCGGCCGGGGCACCGGCGCTGCCGCCGTCGCCATCGGAGGCAGCGTCGCCACTGTCGCGACTTCCAGCCCTGGGGTGGCCGCAGTTGCCGCCGTGCCGCCGGGGAAAGGTGGGGCCCGCGGCCACTGCGGGGTCGGTGCCTCCTCCCGGCGGGACCCCTGGGAGGGGGGGCCCGTGTGCCACTCGCAGCCTCGGGGTTTCCCCGTGGTGCTGGAACACGAGGGTTGGTGTCAGGTCATGCCCCCGAGAGTCTACCCTGGACTTCTGGGAGGTCCCTGTGTGTGTCATTTCCCATGCAATCCGCGGAGAAGTCCAGATCTGGAGCAAGGGACCAAGAATAGGGTGTCTGGTGTGTTTGAAGGGAGCACTGTCGAAATGAGAGGTGTTTCCCCTTATCTTTGTGTCCCATTTCGACTAACAGAGTAGCAGGAGACTCTCGATTTCCATTGTAGTTAGCAGGGATGAGAACGGAGCTCTGATGTACAGGCTGCATTTTGATTGAAGCATAAGGTGCTTGTGGATGAGGCATTCTGCATTTCTGGATCGAGTTGCTGGGTACCTGAGATGTCCTTTGGATAATTAATTTCTGAATATTGTTAATCAAGGGGTTCCGTGAGGCAGCTTTACAGAATAGTATAATGAAATTTCAGGAACTGATAGTCTGAGTTCCAGTGAATGCACAGCATGAAGTCAGCTTGTTCCTGCCACCACCTAATACGATTGTTTTTATGTAAAAGACAAGACAATGAAAGTGTGTAACGACTGCTGTGTAGAACAGAGCTGTCGGAATGTTAAAAGTGTTCCTGTTCTGTGACAGTTGCGAGGTGCTCTTAGTGAATTGTTCACTTAATGAACTTAAGTTGCTTTTTTACTGATGCAAAATAATTATAGTGGGTATGTCTTACATTCTGCTCCTTGTTTGAGAGTTTCCAGCCCTAGCGGTAAAGATAACTTATTCTGGTGATGTTAGTGGCTTCTTCCTTTATATGTATAATACTGGCTGAATTAGGCACTGGGTTAGATACCTTACAGGCAGCTGTTGGCAGGAAAAGCCCAAAAAGCTGCTGGAGGTTCTGGGAAAATTGGCTGCTGGACTGTAAAGTGCCACCACCCTTTCACCTCTGTGGTTTAGACTTGGTGCTGAACAGTCCCACGGCGTGTTTTGCTTGTTGCCTCACTTGACCAGCGGGTTGTGACCACTCTTTGCTCACCGGCTCTTCCAGGCTGACAAGCTCTTGTTGTTTGCTGATGGTTTTGCAGTCGGAGGCGCCGTGGTTGTGGAGGATCAGCCGGATGTGAGCGCAGTGCTGTCGGCCTACAACCAGCAAGGGGACCCGACGCTGTATGAGGAGTACTACAGCGGGTTGAAACACTTCATCGAGTGTTCCCTGGACTGTCATCGAGCAGAGTTGTCTCAGCTGTTTTATCCTCTCTTTGTGCACATGTACTTGGAATTGGTCTACAATCAACATGAGAGTGAGGCAAAGTCTTTTTTTGAAAGGTAATTAATTTTTGTTTGTGCATTTGTGTTATTTTCTGTTTGCTGCTTTGGTTAAACTTGTGAGCTACAGTAGCATAGGTTTGTATACATATACATATGTACATATTATTTTTCTTATTTAAAGTTGAAGAGATTTGAAATCTGAAGTAATGGTGCCATCATGCATTGCAGTAACTGTTCTTAAATTCTTTTCCAGTCTCCTGTAGAAAGATGTGCAGACTGCATGCTTTTGAACTGTCCATTGGCAGATTTTGAACCATGTTTATGGTGTGCTGATGGGCTCCTTGCTGCAAAAGTATCAATGAAGAGATGTTGCATCTTTAGGGAAAGATTGTAGGGTCATTTTTTAGCACTTGAAAATTGCACTGAGATGCCAAAGTAATGTACACTCTAAGTATTTGCTTATATCATAGCATGTACATTGAAATTCTTCAAATGAGGTTAAAGACGTTAATTTATGGCTAATCTATAATTGTCTGTGCTCTTGCTATGTTTCATTTGTTTATTAATTGAAAATAAAATTAAATTGAATTTGGTTTTTGGATTCAGACCAGTTATGAAATACTTCAATCCAAAAGGATAACTTTGTCTCCCTCCAAATGGTCAGCAAAAATGGTTCTGTAACGGTAAATAGTTAAAATGCCCCTTGCCACAACTATTTTATAACAAGTCGAGTAAAAATGGAAAACTCTAAACATATGTTAGTGTGGCCGGGCGGAGAGGATCAGGAACAAATCGCACACAGATCAATGTGATCAGACGATGTTCAATTTATTATTTAAATAAGTTAACTTTTATACAATTTAGTTTGTTTTGGGCACATGCTTACAACAAGGTGATTGGATAGCTCAGTCTGTGTCTCATGTCTCCAGTTCATTGGACCTGATGTTCTGTCCACGCAATCTGAAATCATACTTGGCATGTAAAGGCCTTCCTAATTAGGGGCTTTCTGAAATCTGCAGGTGTACCTTTATCTCTCGTTTCTCAAGGCTTTCTTACTATAAACATACTGTGTTCTCAAACCTTATGACTAGACACACAGCTAAGAAGTATAAACATTACATATTTTCACACAGTCTATAAGTATAAACATTACAGCTTACAACTTCTAAAGTAATATCAAGCAAGGCCTACAGAAAGCAGGAAAAATTGTTCAGAGAAATCTCTCTATTCCGGCCACATGTTAGTTATTATCTATATGTTAGATAATGCAAGTGGAGAGTGAGAAACACGTAGACTGTGAAATGTACATATTCATATAATGAATCAGACATAAAGGCATCCAAGTAGTCTTGTGTAATAAAAAATGCCCTGTACTATATGGTACCACAAATTAGGGTTTAATTTCTGGAAATAAACATGTAAGCGTAACTATTTACTTCATGCAAGAGCCCTTTGGGTGTATGACATCCTGAGAGGTTCCATTTGTGTATTCTCTTCATCTTGTTTTTTAACTGCTGAATGCTCTTACTATGCAGAGTAAATCACTGGTGTATCTTCCCCTGGATGAATTTAATTTCATCAGAAAAGTAATCCCATATATAGTCAGTAGCTTCTAAATGGTCCTTACATATATGTTTTATGTTCAAGCAATGTAAATAAGTGTGCCCTTAGGAGATAATGTTTTCCTAATAAACCTTTGTTAAATTGTTTCAATAGGTTTCATGGGGATCAGGAGTGCTACTACCAGGATGACCTGCGTGTACTGTCTAGCTTAACCAAAAAAGAGCATATGAAAGGTAATGAGACCATGCTGGATTTCCGAACAAGCAAGTTTGTGCTGCGTATTTCCCGTGACTCTTACCAACTCTTGAAGAGGCATCTTCAGGAAAAGCAGAACAATCAGATCTGGAACATTGTTCAGGAGCATCTTTACATTGATATCTTTGATGGAATGCCTCGCAGCAAACAACAGATAGATGCTATGGTTGGAAGCTTGGCTGGGGAGGCAAAACGAGAGGCTAATAAAGCAAAGGTAGGAGGCAAATATTTTTGCACTTCTATAATTAAACAAATCTCCCTAGTTTTTTAGGGAGATCCCATAGTATAGACTGACAATTGTAGCTTGATACCTTAAAAGACAGCATGAAGTGAAGAAAGGAAGTGAACTGTACAAACAGTTGTTGACAAGAATAGAGATCAAGGTATGTCACTCTTTGGCGGAAGAAACTGCTGAACCTTTTGAGAGACAACCTTGTGTCCAGCCCACTGAAATAAACCAATTCATGAATTACTTCGGAGTTTTAAAATGGACACCTGACTATTTGGCTTCCTCTTTTGTACAACAGATGTAATTTTTACTTGCCACCGGTTGTTACTGCAAGGGCTGTTTGTGTAATACCACAGTTCTATACAAATAAATTAGGTAAGGTGTAGGGATTCCACTTTAAGGAAGGGCTAAGAGATGGTGGAAGAACTTATAGTTGTCCAGATCAGTTGCTAAGTAAACCAGAAAA